GGGCTCCGTTTCTGCACCCCGGGCCGGCAGAGCCGGCGAGCTGGAGGCCTTGTGCGCAGGCGGGGAAGGAGCCGAGAGAGGGAGAGACTGATGATGGGACGTGCGGCGTGCACGGGTGTGTGTGTACACGGACCGCACGCTTGGGGGTGCGGGTGTGGCGGGGTGACAGTAGCTGGTGGAGACTGGAGGGGGTCCCCTGAATGTAGGTGTCAGGCCAGTATGAGTCTGCATGTGCTTAGCTGTGTGCAGAGGGGTGTTTGCTGACTGGATGTGAAATTATTCCGGAAGCTGCAACCCCAGGTGGACTTGGCCAGAGAGAGAGAGAAGGGTCTGGGGTGCTGCAGAGGCGAAGAGTGATCTGTTCCTCTTGGCGCCCGGCCTCGCTGCCCCTAGCCGTGCCTGTCTGTCGTGGCTTCCGTGCTGAGACACAGTGATGACGGTTCCCCCGGGGCACTGGGATAAAGAGGGGAAGGTGAGGCGTGGAGAGTGTGGGACAGACAATGAGAAAGCTGTGGGGGACATATCGGGCGAGTCTGTAGGAAAGTCCTGGGGTGCATGGGAAGGTGGGGAGTCAGTGCGTCAGCGCTGTTGTCCATCGGGGCCCTTGAAGGAGGGGTGCCTGTGTAGGCACCTGTTTGAGAGTGTGTTTGAGCCTGTAGATTGCATCTTTGAACGTGAGGGAGGCGAATGTGTGCAGTGCGTGCGCGCGCGCGCGCGCGCGTGTGTGTGTGTGTGTCTGTGTGTGTGTGAATTTCCCTTATATCAGGTTTCAGTGTGAAGGGAGCAGGATTGCCTTCCAGGGTTGGGGGACTCAAAAACACGCAAGAGGATCCCTAAGAAGTTCCCTTCTCTCTGCCCCATATATAATCTTGGCATCTGCCTGCTCCCTCCGCAGCGGGTTCTTTGGGGAGCCTGATGCCTTCCCTATGTTCACCGCAAACAACCGAGTGAAGAGGAGACCCTCTCCCTATGAGATGGAGATTACAGACGGTGAGTCTCCACATCCCCGCCTCTGGCCCTTAGAGCCTTCTCAGGCATGGACATCCAGACCATGTACAGGTTTCACACAGTGGGCAGACCACTTTGGAGCCAAAATGCCAAAGCCCTTCACCGGGGACCAAAGCTGGGTGGAGCTGAGAGGGTCACAGTCCTGGGAAGAGGAGATGTGAGAGATGGAGGGATGCACAATGGCCCTGAGTCCAAAGCTGTAGAGTTCATTCTAGTCCCTGTCAGAGTCCATTCCTACACTCTGCCAGGGATCCCAGGAGAGGGCATCAATGGACTCCAACCACTGACCCTCAAGGTATTCCAGAACAACCCTCATGTTGTCTTTGGAGTCTGGCATTGCACCTTCCATGATCTTCCCCCAGATTCTGCATTGACCCTTTACCCCTTCTAGTTCCCCACTCTGTGTTGAGACCTGGAGTTCCTCCCATTGTTATAGATTCTACCCTGGTCCTTTGATTCCTGCAACGGGGACTCAGCATGGCTACTGTGAGAACTATATTATTTGAATATGATTTGGCCCCAAGCTTTCCAGAAAGGGCTGGAAGGATGGGAGATCTGGGGACCCCTGTCCTCTTCTCAGGGTTGACCTGCTGTGCTCACCACCAGAGCAGAACAGACTCTTCAGAGCTGGGGGTCATGAGCAAGTGCTGGAGCTCCATAGGACACTGAGGCTTCAGGAGGGCTGGGCCAGATGCTAGGATCTGATAGGAAGGCTGTATGTGGAGACTGAGCTTCAGAGGTGAGTCTAGCAACCATAGTGCTGCTGATGAGAGAGGATTCTACAGCCCAGGGTGGGGGTGTGTGCTGGGGGCAGCCCTGAAGTTTCCCAGGGGAGAAGCAGAGGAGAGGAGAGCAGGAGGGTCCAGGAAGAGTGCAGGAAGGCTATTGCCCATAAACATACCCTATATGTATATTCTGAGTGCCTACTCAGAGCCAGAGGGAGACAAAGGACTTCAAAGAATGGACAGACTAAGAAAGAGGAGGAGAGGTCCTCTAAGGAAGAGCCAGACAGAAATAGGCAGACAGGTAGGTAAAGGGAAGGAAGGAGGGTGATGAACTCAGAGACTGAGCCCAGAGGAGCCCACAGAAGTGGAACAATGCAGGCTCCAGAGTCAAGACTGTATTTTCTTTTTAATGGGGTTGGGATTGAACCCAGGGCCCCATGCATGCTAAGCAAGCATTTTACTACTGAGTCAGGGCTAGATATGGATTCCTGTTGCTCAATTTTTTTCTGGGCCACAATTTATTTGTGTGTAAAATGGAGAGACTAACAGCTTCCTCCCAGATTGTTGAGTGACTACCACTAGGTAAAGTGGTTTTAGGACACAGATTGGGGTAGGTACTCATTCATCCTTCTTATTCTGTGTCTGTCGGGAAGATATGTAGGGCTTCTGGGGACAGTAAGCGCCCTCCATTAAAGTCTAGGGTCTCCTTAACATGGAAATTTTGTGTGTCTCCTTCACAACCATACTCCTAGAACCCAGAACATTGCTGGCAGGCCTTAGACAGTCTTTCAGGGGGTGGACAATAGCAATAATTCTGCCACTTGCTGGGCATTTACTGTATGCCATAGGCTTTGTGTGCCCACAAGCCTGTGAGGTCAATATTAATTGTTTCTTTCACAGATGAGTAAAGTGAGGCTCAGAGAGATTAAGTAGCTTGCTTAAAATCTTACAGTGAGTCCTGGTCTATTCTCCTAACAGTGAACATGAGCTTTGGAATCTGTCCTCGGCTCCCCACCACTGCTCGCTCCCAGAGGCTGCCTGGCTGGGACAGCAGTTGTAGTGTCCCTTCCCCTTCCCCTGCTGTGAGCTCCCTCAAGCTCACCAGCACCACCATGGTACAGGACTTGCCATCCTTGTGTCACAGCTTGGGGACCTGCAGGCCTGAGAGCAGCGTGTTGTTTCTCTGAGGCGGCCCAGGGCAGAACTGCCCACAGGTGTGTGTTTTTTTCCAAGCCTAGGTCTGGCCTTTGGCTAAGAGTCCTCTGGGCTGGGGCCCATGGGGTTTGGAAAGACAGCTTCAGAGATAATGAAGGGGCTGAGTGATCCTCTCTGGGAAAATAAGTGAGTGTGTGTGTGCATGCAAGAGAGGAAAGGGGCATCATAAAGCATCAGGCATCAGCATGGATGATCTGGGTTCCAGATTGACCATTGAGGCAAGGCCTGCCTCTGTCCCATGCTGCCTCCTTAGCTGTAAAATAAGCATGGGATTTGAATACAATCTTCGCCCTTTTCTTTCCCTTCATCTCATCCCAAGTCTCCATATTCTGAGGTCTGGATCCAGTGGTTACTAGAAGAGGGCCTTGTCTATTCCCACTTTACACCCACTGCCAGGCTATCTTTGCCTATTTCCTGCCTCAGGGCCTTTACACATACCATACTTTCTGCCTAAACATTCTTCCTCTTCTCTGCTTGTGCCTGGCTAGTGTTGCTTTATCCTTAAATTTTTATCTTATGGATGTCCTATCATCAGAAAGGCCTTCACCAGCCATATTAGCTAAGTGTAGTAGCTTCTTTCCATTTTTGGTCCTGTGTTTTGTTCACTATTTTTCATTCCCATTAAAACGTAAGCTCCATGAGGGCAGGGACCATTTGTGTTTTAGTCACCCTTATTCCTTAGTGCCTAGCATAGTACCTGGGTTGTTAGTAAAACATCAATGACAGGGCCAAGGCTCAATGGTTCCGGTGCCTGCCTCGAAAGCGCAAGGTCCTGAGTTTGATCCCCGGTACAAAAAAAAAAAAAAAAAATTGATGACAGTAGTAGTGGATATATATTAAATGTTTAAATAGAGGATGGCATTTTCTTAAATCTTTTATCCTGGGAGGCATTGGACTCATGTAACCATCTTGTAGTAACCATCAGTTTACTAGTACTCTGCCCATTTGCAGAGGAGGCAACAAGGCACAAACCGCCCAAGGACATTCCCCAGGAACACTTGTCTAGGGAAGGATGGTCCAAAACCATACCTGGAGAGCCTAGTTTATCTTCCTACATAGCTTTACAGGGCCTCTTGGCATGAATGACTGCCTGAATGGATGAAGTACTGTCCCAGTCCTCAAATGTCAAACACCTCTGAGAATAGCTATACATGTGTAATAACCAAGAGTGGCAGAGATGAAGTTGTAGCAGGGCCATGGGTGGGGTTTGACTGGGGTAGTTGGGAGGGTCAAAGAAGAGCTCATGGAGAAGGTGACATGTGAACTGGGCTTAGAGTCTGAGTAAGGGAAAGGAGGCATCCTAGTGGATGGAGAGTCCTTTGGGGTGATCTCAGGCCTTTCTCCTGACCTGTGTCCTTCAACCTCCAGGTCCCCACACCAAAGTTGTGCGGCGGATCTTCACCAACAGCCGGGAGAGATGGCGGCAGCAGAATGTGAACGGGGCATTTGCCGAGCTGCGCAAGCTGATTCCCACACATCCCCCAGACAAGAAGCTCAGCAAGAATGAGATCCTTCGCCTGGCTATGAAGTACATCAACTTCCTGGCCAAACTACTTAATGACCAGGAGGAGGAGGGCACCCAACGGGCCAAGCCTGGCAAGGACCCTGTGGGGGGAGGTGGTGGGGGTGGGACAGGGGGTGGAGCACCCCCTGATGACCTCCTGCAGGATGTGCTTTCCCCTAACTCCAGCTGTGGCAGCTCCCTGGATGGTGCAGCTAGCCCGGACAGCTACACAGAGGAGCCGGCACCCAAGCACACAGCCCACAGCCTCCATCCTGCCCTGATGCCCGCCACTGATGGGGCTGGCCCCCGGTGATGGGTCTGGGGCATTGAGGACTGGCCAGCAGGGGTCCCTTAGGCCACTGGGGTAGTGGACATCAGGGCAGGTGGGATGGAGAAGCAGGGCAACGGATTCTTGATGAACTTCCCTTGAAGTCTGATCTTTGGGAAGCCCTAACTGTCCCAGGTCCTAGCTATCCCTGCTCAGTAGGAAATTCTGATTCCTGCCTCAGTAGGAGAACAGGAAAATGGAGCAAAGTGGTAGGTACTTTTTCTGAAGATGGCACGGTTTCCCCTCTCTCCACAATCCCTAAGAATTCCCAAGTAAGAGGCTTAAGTGTCACTGCTTTTGTCCTGAAGTTTGGGAACCCTGTCTTTACCGGGACCTGGGGTTATCAGCTGTCACCTGAGGCATCCAGGGATCCTCTGACTTGCCTTTAGCCCCTCCTGAGTTGGCTGGGGTGGCTTTTATGGCCACTTCTGTCAAATAAATAGGTACCCAATAGCTGCCCATTTCTTGAGCCTTGTCTCCGCCCAGACCTGTGTTGGTCCATCCAGCTTGCCAGCTGCTGCGGGGAGTCCCAAGCCCCGAGGTGCCTTCTTCAGGGCCTGGTTAAAGAAGATGGCCAGTGGACAGACTGCTCTCACCTGGGCCAGAGGGGCAGCAAACCCAGGAGCCCTTACTTTTTGCCCTGGGGATCAGAGCTCTGCTTTCCGCGTACTGAGACTTGCCTTCTTGTCCTGCAGCTATTGGAACTGAGCGTACAGCCTTGAATATACCCTATTGGGGTTGTATAAAGGCAGAGAAAGGGAAAATGATATTAGAGAGAAACAGAGTAAGAAATATTTTGGGCATGTGGGCTTCAACTCCTACCAGTCACTGTTCGTGCCACGGAGCAAATGCCAGTATGCTATCGGGCACCGGTTGGTGCTGAGATGTGAGGCCTGTGTGTGTTCTTCGAGATGCTTGGAGGGAGTTAGTTCCCTGCTGCAACATGTCTGTCTGTTTTTGGTCTGATCTCTCTTCTGAATTGAGCATAGACTCTGTCCTATGACTTTTTTTGTATTTGGAATATTTGCTTGACTTCTGTTATTGGTGGAATCTTTAGGTCTTGATACAGCCCCACCTGTAGAAGTGATTAGGGAGTCCAGCCAGAGGCCAGGCCCTGCTAAGAGCCCAACATATGCACATTCATGTAGCAGAACCTTAAGTACCCTTTGATTGTGCAGCTTTAGGTCATCGGGTGTGTATGGTGTGGGAGGCTGGTTTAATTCAATAGGAGTGCCCACTCCGAAAGTTGTACGTGAAATTCATGTAAATCAAATTTTCATTCTTCATCTTTTACAGAAATAACTACTGAAAGTCCTTTTGTAAAGTGAATCATTTTGTAAAGTGGACCACTGTTTTCTTGCCTCCTCTGTCAATTCAGACAGTGGGACATGGTTGGTTCCTTTCCCCTTTCCTTTCCTTTCCTTTTTTTTTTTTTTTTCTTGTGATGGAGTCTTGCTATGTAGCCCAGACTGGCCTCAAATTCATGGCAGTCCTCCTGCTAAGCCTCCCCAAAGTTGAGATTACAGGTGTGTGCCACAATGCGCAGGTGGGGACATGGTTTGCTTAAGGCTAGGCCTGCCTGAGATGTATTGCAGTGCCATGTAACAAACTGCACAGAAGTGCTGTGTATCTGTCACTGTATTTAATTTATTACAGTCCTCTCCTACAAGGCTCTTGAGGTCAGAGGGAAAACATTTGATAGCCTGATCATACCATGCAGAAGCCCATCATGTTCTGAGCTTTAGCCCAGTGTGATGGAGGTCTGAGCACAACCTATGAAAACAAGGAGAGGTTGCCACTTCCCTCCCCTTCCTTTTAAGTTGTGAGGTCCATTTCTTGGGTGTGGGGACGATACTGTAAACCCCTGAAGCACTCTGACTAGAGATCTCATTTCATACTCCCAAAGTTATATTTTTCCAGTGCTTAGAAGATCCCCCGAGGAGTCTCACCCTTGTAAAAGCAGAATAGCTAAAAAATGAAACAAAACATGGAGCAGCTGCCCTAGGCTTTAAGGCTGTGTTTGGTTCCTACTTAGTTAGCTTATCTAGCAATGAAAAGCAGTTAAAGTGAATGGATGGGTTTTATGAGATATGTCACACATTCTCTCAGGACTTCAGCTTCTGGTTCCCTTTTCTGCAGTGTGACTGGGATAGGTATCGTTCTAAGTGTCAGCGTCTCATGAATACCCTGGCTTGGCCTGTCTTCTAGGGCATCAGTTGTGAAAGTGGAAGTGTTTTTTTTTTTTTTTTTTTGAGGCCACACCAGAGCTCTTTTGCAGGCTGAGGGTGTAGCTCAGGGCAAAGCACTTGCCTAGCATACGAGGTCCTAGATTCAATCCCCCCCACCAAGCATTAGCCTTCAGCACCAGTTCTGTGGGGTGGTTCCTAGCCCCGGGCCGTTGGCATTTGGGTAATTTAGGTTGTAAACTACTTTTTTCCAGAGTTATCTAGATCCTCATTTCTCCAGACTGTCTTAGTTTCTGTCCCATTCCAACGTGAAGGAGAGCAGGGAGAATGGGAAAGAGATGTGGGAGCATGGGCAGACCATACAGAAAGCAATCAGCTTCTCCCACAGGGCCAGGACAGGGAAGGAAGAGGATTTAGGTCTTTGAAAGAACTAAGACCCCTCATTTCTGTTCTCACCTTCCGTAACTCACGTGCTGCTCCTTCCTTTGCCTCCTCCTCCCCCGTGAAAAGATGGCAATATTCCAAGAATAATATCTGCAGTATCTGTACAAAAGGGAAACATGTACAGGTAAAAAGCCACTTTGAGGAGAACAAAGATAAATGTGGAAGGAATCCCATCTTTTCAGAAGAATTCATATTGCTTCATTTGTAGTGGCAAATGACAAGATGGTACAACCTTTATCCTTTTCCAAAAATGAACAAAAGGTGTCTGTAGTCAGCCGACAGAACTGTGGCCTCCTGGGTGGGTCTAGTTGTACTTGTGATTTCAGTGGTACTGACCCTGACACGAGGTCCGCCCCCGCCCATGTACATAGCGCACAGCTTCCTGTGAGTGGGCCCAGCACTTTCCGTCAATGTCGTACTGTACGTGATGAGTTGCATTGGTCTCTGCATTTTTCTGCAGAAGAGGAGTAACTGCTCCGGGTACCTTGACCTTTGTACGCCCAGATGCCAACACCCTGTGGGCATGTGACTCTAGCAAACAAACCCATGTGTTGATGATGTGTGTACATATATAAGGTTATATGGGGAAGATTTCTAAATAAAAGTTTTACAAAGGGGCCTGGACTCTGTTTGTACTTTATGCTTCTAGGCCTGAGAATTGAGACATTAAGTAAGGTCTGGCAAGCACCTGCCACCTCTGAAGTGGGGGCATCTCCAGGACTCTGCTGACCCCCTGAGAGGTGGGAGCCAGGCCTCACTAGGGCAGGGTTGGGGGCACTGCTGAAAAGGGAGGCCCTCCTTTCCAGTTTCCATTCTTCCCTTCCCGCCCAGCCTCACCGTAGGACCTCTTTCCTCAGCACCCTGTTTTTAGTTTGGGGCCGTTCCAGCGGAGCTCCCCTCTAGTGGTGGCTCAACTTCCACAGCTGGGGCACTTGCATCCAGGGTAGGGTCAGGATAGAGTAAGGTGTCAGTGTAGGTGGCCCCGTGTTCCCTGATCACTCACAGGGGCTACAGCTGCTGAGCTTTACAGCGTTACAGTTCTTGAGGACTCGGTCCTATGGATGGAGGCAAAAGCCTTTGAACCGGGGAGGGTTTCCCTAGAAGCTTAGGAATGGAAGTGTGGCTTTTGACAGGGACTATGAGTCTTAGGAGGCCCATGCACGTGGACTGTTTGACACTCAGGGACTTTAGTGGGGGGCGCGGTGCTTCTACCTGAGTGAGTGGTTTCTTTCGGTAGTTCATTTAGAAAGCATTCACTGAGCACTTGCTGTGCTCCAGGTATTGTTCTAGGGGCTGGGCATCCAACTAGAACAATACAAAGACCCCTGTTCTTCCAGAGCTGAAATTCTAGCAGGAGTAGCAATAAACCCACAACTGTAAATGAACCCACAACAATAAACCCAAACAGGTTGGTGATGTAATCAGTAATTAGCATGAATGCAAAAAGCTGTGCTAGGTAAGGGGGAATTGGAGAGTCTCACAGGTAACTTTGGCTCCTTTGCAGTGAACCTCACTCATTCTGCCAGGCTCTGGCCTTGGCTGTCCCTGCCTTTGGAGTTTTCAACCTGGCAGAGCAGGATGGACTTGGGAGTCATGCTCTGGCCTATAGGGAAGGCCCCTGGTTTTTGGAAGACCCTAAGCATGCCTCTTCCTGGCCAGGACAAGATAGTGCCTAGGTAGAGGGGATGATGAGATTTGGTCCTAGCTGGGGCAGGGGAGGG